GCGTCGCTCGGACGTGGGCCTTGTCTTCCTCGGCGAGGACCATCGAGGGGCATCCAGTCATCGGTGAACAAAAATCACCGCACGAAGCCGACCAACGTAGGGGAATAGACGTCGGAGAGATGGCGAGGCTACGCTTTGACTCACGCACCGCGCAGCACGGCACCGCACGGGCCCCAAAACCACTGCTTCCGGAGGCCTCTCCAGGAACATGGTAGACTTGGCATCGCTGGCACGTGTGTATTCGTTCTCCGCGGGGGCCATCGAGAAGCATCCTGGATCAGCTTGCGAAAAATACACCCACGAAACAGAACAATGCATGGAGAATGGACGTCCGAGCGATGGGAAGCCACGCCATGTTGTGACTTACGCACCGCGCAACACGGCACCGCACAGGCCCCCAAACCAAGGCTCCCGGAGGCCTTTCCAGGAAGATGAGATGGTTCGGCGGCGAGCACGGGAGGGAAATGAGAATGGGCGGGCCTTTTCAGAAGACTCGGAAGTCCCCCCGGCCTTCTGAGAAGTTTTCTAAGCCTTGCCAAAAACACAGAGAATGTATCAGAAGGCGTGAGGGCTTTGAGAAGTCCCGCCGCCTTCTGAGAAGGCCTTCTCCGTTTCACTTCCCCTCGTTCGCCGCCGCCGCATGGTAGAAGGGCGGGAAGGCGAGCACCATGCCCAGACCCTTGCCGCAGAATTGGATCGGCAACGCGGGCAATCATCGCATTGGCCACGTTGGTCGTCTTCCTGGATTCGGTGGCTTCTTCAGGCCGAGAGTGTCGCTGACCACGAGCTTGTCCTCCATGCTGGCGCCGGTGCCGTTGCTGGCCTCGGACTCGACTGAATTCTCGATGCGATTTGGGTTCGCGATGCTCTCGAGTATCGGGTTATCGGGTGCCTCCTCATCTAGTTATGGGGTCGCCTGAAAGCCATACTGATACTATTCATCTTCCTGCGGTAAGCCTTGCCAACGCGACGGCAGCAGCAGCAGCGCATCAGGAAGGGGCTTTCGGGGGGCCGCTGGGGCTTGCGGACCGTTAAACTGGCTTCATGAGGGCCGTCGGGGGTATCGGGGTATTCTTGGGCGCTATTGTTGTGCTGAGCTCTTCTGCAGAGGCTCGATTAACACATATTGAGGGCGAGTGGGCGGGTCTCGGTGCCGTCTTGAAATCGTGGTGCAGTGCAAGCGCGGTGACGGATTTGGGAGCCTCTTGGAGTTATCCTGCAAGTCATCTTGGGCCACGTTGGGCCAACTCGGGCGATCTTCTGTTGGAGGACTTTCGTGTCGTGGCATTTCTGGCGTGCCAGACTGATACTATTCATCTTCCTTTGGTAATCCTTGCCAACGCGACGGCAGCAGCAGCAGCGCATCAGGAAGGGGCTTTCGGGGGTCCGCTGGGGCTTGGGGACCGTTAAATTGGCTTTATGAGGGCCGTCGGGGGTATCGGGGTATTCTTGGGCGCTATTGTTGTGCTGAGCTCTTCTGCAGAGGCTCGATTAGCACATATTGAGGGCGAGTGGGCGGGTCTCGGTGCCGTCTTGAATTGCGGTGCAGTGCAAACGCGGTGACGGATTTGGGAGCCTCTTGGAGTCATCCTGCAAGTCATCTTGGGCCACGTTGGGCCAACTCGGGCGATCTTCTGTTGGAGGACTTTCGTGTCGTGGCATTTCTGGCGTGCCAGACTGATACTATTCATCTTCCTGCGGTAAGCCTTGCCAACGCGACGGCAGCAGCAGCAGCGCATCAGGAAGGGGCTTTCGAGGGGCCGCTGGGGCTTGGGGACCGTTAAATTGGCTTTATGAGGGCCGTCGGGGGTATCGGGGTATTCGTGGGCGCTATTGTTGTGCTGAGCTCTTCTGCAGAGGCTCGATTAACACATATTGAGGGCGAGTGGGCGGGTCTCGGTGCCGTCTTGAAATCGCGGTGCAGTGCAAGCGCGGTGACGGATTTGGGAGCCTCTTGGAGTCATCTTGCAAGTCATCTTGGGCCACGTTGGGCCAACAGGGGCGATCTTCTGTTGGAGGACTTTCGTGTCGTGGCATTTCTGGCGTGCCAGAGTGATACTATTCATCTTCCTACGGTAAGCCTTGCCAACGCGACGGCAGCAGCAGCAGCGCATCAGGAAGGGGCTTTCGGGGGGCCGCTGGGGCTTGGGGACCGTTAAATTGGCTTCATGAGGGCCGTCGGGGTATCGGGGTATTCGTGGGCGCTATTGTTGTGCTGAGCTCTTCTGCAGAGGCTCGATTAACACATATTGAGCGCGAGTGGGCGGGTCTCGTTGCCGTCTTGAAATCGCGGTGCAGTGCAAGCGCGGTGACGGATTTAGGAGCCTCTTGGAGTCATCTTGCAAGTCATCTTGGGCCACGTTGGGCCAACTCGGGCGATCTTCTTTCTGTTGGAGGACTTTCGTGTCGTGGCATTTCTGGCGTGCCAGACTGGTACTATTCATCTTCCTGCGTTACGCCTTGCCAACGCGACGGCAGCAGCAGCAGCGCATCAGGAAAGGGCTTTCGGGGGGCCGCTGGGGCTTGGGGACCGTTAAATTGGCTTCATGAGGGCCGTCGGGGGTATCGGGGTATTCGTGGGCGCTATTGTTGTGCTGAGCTCTTCTGCAGAGGCTCGATTAACACATATTGAGGGCGAGTGGGCGGGTCTCGGCGCCGTCTTGAAATCGCGGTGCAGTGCAAGCGCGGTGACGGATTTGGGAGCCTCTTGGAGTCATCTTGCAAGTCATCTTGGGCCACGTTGGGCCAACTCGGGCGATCTTCTGTTGGAGGACTTTCGTGTCGTGGCATTCCTGGCGTGCCAGACTGATACTATTCATCTTCCTGCGGTAAGCCTTGCCAACGCGACGGCAGCAGCAGCAGCGCATCAGGAAGGGGCTTTCGGGGGGCCGCTGGGGCTTGGGGACCATTACATTGGCTTCATGAGGGCCGTCGGGGGTATCGGGGTATTCTTGGGCGCTATTGTTGTGCTGAGCTCTTCTGCAGAGGCTCGATTAACACATATTGAGGGCGAGTGGGCGGGTCTCGGTGCCGTCTTGAAATCGCGGTGCAGTGCAAGCGCGGTGACGGATTTGAGAGCCTCTTGGAGTCATCCTGCAAGTCATCTTGGGCCACGTTGGGCCAATTCGGGCGATCTTCTGTTGGAGGAGTTTCGTGTCGTGGCATTTCTGGCGTGCCAGACTGATACTATTCATCTTCCTGCGGTAAGCTTTGCCAACGCGACGGCAGGAGCAGCAGCGCATCAGGAAGGGGCTTTCGGGGGGCCGCTGGGGCTTGGGGACCGTTAAATTGGCTTCATGAGGGCCGTCGGGGGTATCGGGGTATTCGTGGGCGCTATTGTTGTGCTGAGCTCTTCTGCAGAGGCTCGATTAACACATATTGAGGGCGAGTGGGCGGGTCTCGGTGCCGTCTTGAAATCGCGGTGCAGTGCAAGCGCGGTGACGGATTTGGGAGCCTCTTGGAGTCATCCTGCAAGTCATCTTGGGCCACATTGGGCCAACTCGGGCGATCTTCTGTTGGAGGACTGTCGTGTCGTGGCATTTCTGGCGTGCCAGACTGATACTATTCATCTTCCTGCGGTAAGCCTTGCCAACGCGACGGCAGCAGCAGCAGCAGCGCATCAGGAAGGGGCTTTCGGGGGGCCGCTGGGGCTTGCGGACCGTTAAACTGGCTTCATGAGGGCCGTCGGGGGTATCGGGGTATTCTTGGGCGCTATTGTTGTGCTGAGCTCTTCTGCAGAGGCTCGACTAACACATATTGAGGGCGAGTGGGCGGGTCTCGGTGCCGTCTTGAAACCGCGGTGCAGTGCAAGCGCGGTGACGGATTTGAGAGCCTCTTGGAGTCATCCTGCAAGTCATCTTGGGCCACGTTGGGCCAACTCGGGCGATCTTCTGTTGGAGGACTTTCGTGTCGTGGCATTTCTGGCGTGCCAGACTGATACTATTCATCTTCCTGCGGTAAGCCTTGCCAACGCGACGGCAGCAGCAGCAGCGCATCAGGAAGGGGCTTTCGGGGGGCCGCTGGGGCTTGGGGACCGTTAAATTGGCTTCATGAGGGCCGTCGGGGGTATCGGGGTATTCGTGGGCGCTATTGTTGTGCTGAGCTCTTCTGCAGAGGCTCGATTAACACATATTGAGGGCGAGTGGGCGGGTCTCGGTGCCGTCTTGAAATCGCGGTGCAGTGCAAGCGCGGTGACGGATTTGAGAGCCTCTTGGAGTCATCTTGCAAGTCATCTTGGGCCACGTTGGGCCAACTCGGGCGATCTTCTGTTGGAGGACTTTCGTGTCGTGGCATTTTTGGCGTGCCAGACTGATACTATTCATCTTCCTGCGGTAAGCTTGCCAACGCGACGGCAGCAGCAGCAGCGCATCAGGAAGGGGCTTTCGGGGGGCCGCTGGGGCTTGGGGACCGTTAAATTGGCTTCATGAGGGCCGTCGGGGGTATCGGGGAATTCTTGGGCGCTATTGTTGTGCTGAGCTCTTCTGCAGAGGCTCGACTAACACATATTGAGGGCGAGTGGGCGGGTCTCGGTGCCGTCTTGAAACCGCGGTGCAGTGCAAGCGCGGTGACGGATTTGGGGGAGTTGATGACCAGGCACTTGCCCATTGCGCCAAGCTTGTGGACAAAGTTCTCTTAAAGCTTCCTGCGTGCATCTTGGGGCCTCTGGGGGGCGTCCTGGAGCCTCGTGGGAGCATCTCGTGGCCATTCTGGGGCCTCGTTGGGCCATCTTCGGAAGCCGTGTTGGTGGTATCTTGGGAGCATCCGGGATCCGCATAAGGGACGGGGACGTTGGGGCATTTGGGAGTCGTCTTGAACCTACCTTGCCTCCCTCCCTCCCTTCGCTCCCGCTTTACCCACCCCCTCGTAGCACAATCCAGGCGCTTCGAGAACGCAGGCTTTTTGGCACAAACCGAGCAGCCAGGCCCGCCCGGCACGCTTTTATTTTTTGAGGGGGGGGTCTCAGATTTCTTCGCCCAGCCCGAGCGTCGAAGGTCGCGTTGATGGCGGGACAGCAGAGGCAGGAGTTTGGGTGCATCCCCTGCTGCAACTGCTGCGTGACCGTGCCGCAGGACAAGATCTACGCCGTGGAGCTCTTCGGAAGCTTCACCAAGGCGATCTCGAAGACGAAGGGGCAGCATAAACACAAACTGTCGGCGCTCCGCGCGGATTGGCTCGGCGCCAAACCCACCACCCTGGCGGCGTGGAGCGGAGCTCTGAAAGATTATGTTTATGTCGGTTCTCTTCCTCTGACCAAGGTAATCTTAAGTCGGGCCCGTCCCTCTACAGGAGGAATATTCAAAAATAGTCAAAGAAATAGTATGGGGACTATTTTTTGACGCTCAATCCGCCGGCCCGCATTGTGCCCTCGCTGGCGTTTGGGCTTTTGGGGGCCTTTTGGGGTCCTCATTGGAATTGGGGGTTTCTTGGGGGGCCCTTGGGTTTCTGTTGGAGCCTCTTTGGGGTTTCTTGGAGCTCCTTTGGGAGCATTTGGGAGCATCTTGGGGCTTCTGGGAGCCGCTTGCGAGCCGCTTGGGAGCTTCTTGGGGGCCTCGTGAGGGCCTTGTGGAGGCCTCCTGGGGCTTGAAAGGGGCCCTCTTGGCGCCTCCTGGGGGCTTCTTAGGGCCGAGGGCTCGAAATGTTGTTTCGTGCTCCCCCTCTGGGGCTTCTCTTAGAGCGTTCTGAGGGCCCTCTTGGGCCGTCTTTGAGGCCTCTTAGGCCGTCTTGGAACCCCCTTGGGCCGTCTCGGGGCCCTGTCGGAGGCCTCTCGGGCTTCTTAGGGCGATCTTGGGGGCCTCTTGGGCCGTCTTGGGGCGTCGCGATGCCGAAAAGGTGGAGACGCCAACATCTCCCCCAAACCTTCGGAAAAGCAATGAATTTTGCCTCTTGGGGCCCTCTTGGGAGTGCTCTTGAAAGCCTCGTGGGGCGTCTGGGGGCTATCTCGAGGGCCTTTTGAGGGCCGCCTGGGGCTTGAAAGGGGCCTCTTGGCGCCTCCTGGGGGCTTCTTAGGGCAGAGGGCTCGAAATGTTGTTTCGTGTTCCCCCTCTGGGGTCCCAGAGCGTTCTTGGGGTCCTCTTGGGCCGTCTTGGAAGCCTCTTGGGCCGTCTTGGAACCCTCTTGGGCCGTTTTGGGGCTTGAAAGGGGCCTCTTGGCGCCTCCTGGGGGCTTCTTAGGGCCGAGGGCTCGAAATGTTGTTTCGTGCTCCCCCTCTGGGGCTTCTCTTAGAGCGTTCTTGGGGCCGTCTTGGAACCCTCTTGGGCCGTCTTGGGGCCCTGTCGGAGGCCTCTTGGGCCTCTTAGGGCGATCTTGGGGGCCTCTTGGGCCGTCTTGGGGCGTCGCGATGCCGAAAAGGTGGAGACGCCAAAATCTCCCCCAAACCTTTAGAAAAGCAATGCATTTTGCCTCTTGGGGCCCTCTTGGGAGTGCTCTTGAAAGCCTCGTGGGGCGTCTGGGGGCTATCTCGAGGGCCTTTTGAGGGCCGCCTGGGGCTTGAAAGGGGCCTCTTGGCGCCTCCTGGGGGCTTCTTAGGGCAGAGGGCTCGAAATGTTGTTTCGTGTTCCCCCTCTGGGGTCCCAGAGCGTTCTTGGGGTCCTCTTGGGCCGTCTTGGAAGCCTCTTGGGCCGTCTTGGAACCCTCTTGGGCCGTCTTGGGGCCCTGTCGGAGGCCTCTCGGGCCTCTTAGGACGATTTTGGAGGCCTCTTGAGCCGTCTTGGAGCGTCGCGATGCCGAAAAGGTGGAGACGCCAAGATCTCCCCCAAACCTCAGGAAAAGCAATGAATTTTGCTTCTTGGGGCCCTCTTGGGAGTCTCTTGGGGCTCCTTGGCGGCGTCTTGGGGCCGCAGGGCCTCTTGGGGGGCTCTTGGAGGCCTCTTAGGGCGGGAGGGGGGGTAGTCGATTGCGGCTCCTCCTCCCTCGGCGGCCACGATCCTCGTGAGGGGTGTCGAAAAATGACCCTCCCCTGGAGTGCTTTGGTGGCTCCTCCCGGGACCTTGCCAGGGTACTTTTTCGTCTGGGGACAACCAGGGGCCGCCCCGCGCACGCGAACTAGAAATACTGTGAACCAGTTACCGGAGATCTTCGCACGCCTCTGGCCCGTTGGGCTGGCGATTTTTTTGACCATTTTGGAGTATGTTTTGAGTATTGTTTATTTTTCGTCGAAAATCCCCCTGTAGGGGGGCACGCCCGATTTAAAGGTAATCGGTTCTGGCCTCAACGTCGTCGGGTGTGACGTGGGGGGGTGCTGCATCAGCTTCCGGTCCATCACCAAGCGCGTCGAGCAGAACGACGTCATCGTGGAGACCAAGACCAAGGATAACGTATTCGTGTTGGTGAAGGTTTCTGTTCAGCAGCAGGTCATCCCGGATCAAGCGGAGTCCGCCATCTACAGACTCGCGAATGTCGGTGCGCAGATCGATTCATATGTCTCGGACGTGGTGCGCTCATGCGTACCGAAGATGACATTGGACGAAGCATTCGAGGAGAAGGACAACATTTCCTCTGCCGTCAACGATGCCCTCACCAAGAGCATGCACGAGTATGGGTTCCAGATCATTAAGGCACTCGTGACTGAGCTGAAGCCCAGCCAGGACGTGATGAATTCCATGAACGAGATCAACAAGCAGAAGCGTCTCCGCGATGCAGCAATGATGGCTGCTGAGGCTGATAAGATCCGGGTGGTTAAGAAAGCAGAGGCGGATTCCGAATCAGCTCGTCTGCAGGGCGAGGGCATCGCGAAACAGCGCGAGGCCATCGTGGACGGCCTGAAGAGGTCCGTCACCTCTGGGACCGATGAGCAGCTCTCCTCCGACAAGGTCTCCGAGCTGTTGCTCATCACGCAGTATTTCGAGACGCTGAAGGAAATCGGAGCGAGGTCGGGGTCCAACGCTGTCTTTATCCCGCACAGCCCCGCTGATGGCGTCCGGGATATTTCTGCTCAGATCCGCAACGGCATCATGCAGGGCGGCGCTCCTGGGCAGATGCGCATGTGAGCGACGGCAGGCGGTGCAACACGCAGCAGCATCAGGATGGGATACGATGCGGCGGCGCGCCGAGGATGCAGCAAGAGGGGGCAGGCCTCCTCCGGAGGCGGCGGGGCTTCCCAGAAGCCCTCAGAAGCCCGCCGCGGCTTCGGAGAAGGCTTAGAAAGCTTCCCTGGATGCCAGAGGCCTTCTGAGCATTTGAGAAGGCCCGCACTTAGGTCTTTAGCATACGCGCGAAACCTGAAGCAGCGGAGTCAAACCCAAGTTTCGTCATAAGCGCCCGGGGAGAGCAGCCTCCCGCGAAACTCGACCCCCACCGCGGACAGCCGCCGCGCGCCGAAGCCGCCCGAAGCCCCAGGCCCCCCAGGCGCGGTGCGCAGGCGTGGCGAGGTCGACCCGCGTCGGTCGGGGGGGCCCACCCGCGCGCTGATGAAGGAACGCACAATAAATACAAGTCAAGCGAGCATGCCCACGCATCTCGTGTGGAGCCGAAGCGTTCCCACTCGGGTTCCTGGAGCCACTGCGAGCCTGTCAGCCGTTCAGGCTGCAAACATGGCTGGAGTTTGGCAGCCTGTCTAATACGCGAGGGGAGTGAATACAGAGTTTTTGCCTTGCTCCCCGTTGAATGCAGACGTCTTCAACTCCTTCGATCATTTGGCGCGCAGGGCTAAGTCCCTCGCGCTCTCACCTCTCATCCAGCGACCGCGCTCGTGCCAAAACTTCGCCTATTGTGCCACTTTTCCTCCCCACGGCTCTCCGAGACTTCACACCGGCTCCGAAATTGTGCCAAAAAGCCCCAAGAACACTCCGAAGATGCCCCACAGACGCTTCCAAGAGACCCAAAGAGGCACCATGGTGCCTCTGAGGAACCCCCAAGGCCCCGCGAAGCCCCTAAGAGGCTTCCCAGGGGCCACCACACGTCCCCAACACGACACTGCCAGGTCGGACAAGTCCACAAGCCGAAAAGGCCCCAAGATGCCCCCAAGAGATTCCCCGAATAAGCTTCCAAACGCAAAGAGCTGCTTGTCAGACCTAAAGACAGTTAGCTGTTTTAGCCCACGAGCAACGTTCCCTCCCCATAGCTCTCCGAGTCATCATTGCGGTTACGCAATGGCTCCCGAGACGCCTTCAAGAGGCCAAAGCGGCTTCCAAGAGACTCGTTGGGAGGCCAAACGCATTGAATAACAATCGGGAAGCCTTAGCTTAGTGTTTTGAAGTTCTATAATTTGTTCGCTTCTGATTGGCCTCTCAGGCCTCTAAGGCGCCCAAACGGCCCCAGAGAGCCCGAAGCCCCAGAGAGCTTCAAGACGGCCCCAACATCGCCCGAGAGCCTCTCAAGAGCGCACTAAGAGGGCCCCAGGACGGCCCAGAAAGTCCCCCAAGATGGCCGCCCAGGGCGTCGGACGGACCCCGAGCGCCCCAGGAGAGCCCAAGAGGCCCCTGAGGCTCCAGAAAGCTCCCGGGATGCCCCCAAAGACGGCCCCACGAGGCCCCCATAGGGCCCCCTCCGGGGAGGCCCCGGGCGCGGCAGCTGATGGCACCCAGCGTGCTCTGGAAGCTGCCCGCAGGAGCACGCTGGAGCCCGACGTCAGCCCCGGGCCTCCCGGAGGCCACCGCGGGCCGCCCCATATGCCCGCCGTCGGGGGCCCGGCGCGGCTGCTCGAGGGCATTCCTCGGAGGGGCCAGCCGACCCAATCCGATCCGCTTCGCCGCGAAGCCTCACGTTGCACAGCAGGGGTGGGACCCAAACGGTGTTTTGGCGATTTCGTGGGCCGCTTTCGTTTCGATGTCGTCTTGCGTGAAGGGCGGATTGAAGACAGAACGAGGGAAAACGAACACACAACGAAACGAAAAACACCGTTTAGGTTCAGCCCTGTTTCACAGCACGTTCTGGAACACGCTTGCCGCAGCACGCTGCAGCTCAGAAGGGGAGCCGCAGGGACGAGGAGAACGGTCAGGAGGACCCCTTCGCCAGTATGGACTAGCGGACCTGGGCTCGCATCCCTCCCCCCCGCAGCCTTTCGACCCGCGCATCAGACCCTCTAGCCGATGCTGCCCCAGCCCCAGGCGAGGGTGGCCTCCACTCGTGCCGAGGCCTTCGTTCTCGCCAGGTTCCGGACGCGCTCCGCCGCCTCGCCCCGCCCGCCCGGCCCACGCGCTGCGCTTCTCGCTCGGGCATGGCGCAACGGGTGGGGCGAGAGGGGCCCTGAAAGGGCCCCCCCTGGGGCCCAACATGTGCACGAAAGATGCACTTTTCCGCCCCCCATTCATCGAACCTCCCAGCTGGGGTCCGAGCAGATGGGGTCGAGGGATCGCGCCGCATCGCCGATGCATCGGCGATGGGGCTCCATGTGGAGCCCGACTTTCTCCACCTGCGTCGCCGATGCAGCGCTGGCGTCGCCGATGCATCGGCGATGCGGCGCGATCCCTCGACCCCATCTGCTCCGACCGCGTTTAGGAGGCGCCTCGGTGAACGAACGCCCGGCCTGGTCCGCCCGCTGCGCTTCTCGTGCCGCCCCCGGGGCGAGCCGAGCCGAGCGGGCGCTCCCGTGCACGGAGCGGCCCTGGAGGGGTGCCGGTCCCTCCGGGGGGGGAGCCGAGCGCCTTCAGGACTCGCAGAGTGCCTGCTCGCAGATGCCAGAGGAACACATGTCTGCATCGATGCAGCGTGTGGTGAATCCCCCGTGGCGGAAGCCCTTCGCGAGCAGTGGAACGTGCTCGCCTATTCCCATCGCGCTGATTTTCGCTATCCACCAATAGGTGTCACTGCGGAGGTGGAGGGGGGGGGAGGAGGAGGGGGCGGGAGGCCATCTAGGGTTCTTGTAGCCGTAGGGGGAGTCTCTTCCGCATGGGTCCCCCCAGAGGCCGTATTGGGCCAGCCCAATGACCTCCAGGGGGGCGTCCGTGCTTGTACAGTCGGCCCTTTTGGGTCATCTTGGGGCCGCCTTGGGCCCTCTCTTGGGTCGTTCTGAGGCCATCCTGGAGGCCAATTTCGCGGTCTTGGTGGCCTACCTGGCAAGTTTTGGAAGCAATGTTGAGCATCCTTGACGCCTTGCGAGGCGCCAGGTGGGCATCTGGCAGCCCAGGGAGCCTCGGGAGAGGGGACGGTGCATGCAGATATCTGCGTGCGTCCAGGGGGCGGGGGTCCTTCATCAGAAGGCACAAACCCTGCCAGATAGCACTTTGCATTCTACCACGCCTCAATGCACCATGAGGCAGAATGGAGGATGCACACTTATCTAAGATTGAAGACGCCTGCGGCGAATCACCGCCGCCGCCTGCCTTTTGGAATCGCCCATGTGGCCGATCGTTGCCAAGCTATTGGGCCATGTGTTCCCCCAGCCGTTGTAGAAATCCTTCCGGGAACACCTGCGGGAGGATGGCGGGGAAGATCAGGAGGAGGAGGAGGAGGAGGAGAAGGAGGAGGAGGAGGGGGCATATTGGGAGCCTCTAGGGGCACTCTTGGGGCCTCCTTAGAGCTTCCTAGGAGCCTTTTGGAAGCATCTTGGGGCCTCCTCGGGCCTCTTGGGGGCCTTTGGGGGCGTCTCGGGGGCTCTATTGGCCGTCTTTGGGCATTCCTGGCCCGCCTGACGCCGTCGGAAGCCGTCTTGGGGGCCTCTCTGGGCCGATTTCGGGCCCTCTTGGGGTGCTCCAGGGCCGTCCTGGAGACCATCTTGTCATTTTCGATGCCTCTTGGGTCGTCTTGGGGACCTCTTGGGGCAGTCTGCGGGGCCTCTTGGGCCGTTCTGGGCCTTCTTGGAAGGCCTCGTGGGCGATCTTGGGGCGACCTTTGGGGCTCTTGGGCCGTCTCGGGCCGTCGGAAGATCGAAAAGAAGTAAAAGCCAAACTCCTTCAAACACCTACCGAAACTCTGTGATTTGGGTTTCTTCGGGGCCTTCCTGGAGGCCCTCTTGGGGGTCTCTGGGGCTGTTTTGGGGGCCTCTTGGGGGCCTCTTGGGCCTCCTTGGGCCATCCTCGGGCCATCTTGGGCCGTCTTGATGGTCTTCTGGCCAGTCTGGCGCCGTCGGAAGCCGTCTTGAGGGCCTCTCTGGGCCGACTTGGGGCCCTCTTGGGGTGCTCCAGGGCCGTCTTGGAGGCCACCTTGGGCGTCTTGGTGGCCTCGTGGGCCGTCTTGGGGCCCTCTTTGAACCGTCTGAACAGAGGCAAATGCTTAACTCCTTCAAAAACCGACGGAAAGTCTATGATTTTGGTAGCCTCTTTGAGCCTTCCTGGACGACCTCTTGGAGGCTTCTTGGGCCGACCAGGAGATTTCTTGCGGGCCTCTTCTCTTGGACCATCTTGAACTATTTTGGGCCGTCTTGGTAGCTTCCTGGCCCGTCTGACACCCTGGGAAGCCGTCTTGAGGGCCTCTCTGGGCCGACTTGGGGCCCTCTTGGGGTCCATCTTTGGCGTTTTGGGGGCCTCGTGGGCCGTCGTGAGATCCTCTTGGGGCAGTCTTGGGGCCCATTGGAACAGTCTTGAGGCGAACTTTGGGGGCTCTTGGGCCGTTTCGGGCCGTCGGAGGACCGAAGAGAAGCAAACGCAAAGAGTCTTCCTGGAGGACCTCTTGGAGGCCTCTTGGGCCGTCTTGGAGGCTATCTGGGGTCCTCTAGGGCCGTCTTGGCCCACTTTGCTGCTATCTTAGGCCGTCTTGGAGGCATCTTGGGCCGTCTTGGAGGCATCTTGAAGCCATCTTAGCCGTCTTGGAGGCCATCTTGGAGGCCATCTTGGGCCATCTTGGCGGTCTTGAAAGCCATCTTGAGCCGCCTTGGGAACTTTTTGAGAATTGCGAGCCTCTCCGGTGACCGGCGGGACGAACCGAAGCCCCAGGGAGAGTTCCTTGGGAAATAGAGCCAAAACCAAGAGCGATAGGATTTAGCACGCGGGGTACTCCTGTGGTAAGCCATCAGGGGCCGGCGGATCGAAGACGCCTACGGCGAACCACCGCCGCCCCCTGCCTTTTTGGAAGCGCCTATGTGGCCGAACGTCGAGGCCAGACCTGCCAAGCCATCGGACCATGTGTTCCCCGAATCGGTTTGGAAAGCCTTCGGGGAACACGTGGGCATCTTGAAGGTCATCTTGGCCGTCTTGGAGGCCTCTTGGGCGATCTTTCGGCGATCTTTGGGGGCTCTTGGGCCGTCTCGGGCCGTCGGAAGGCCGAAAAGAAGGAAATGTCACAATCCGTCAAAAATCTTTGGAAAATCAATGTTTTTGGCATTTTCTGGCCCTCCTGGAGGCCCTCTTGGGGGCCTCTTGGGCCGTCTTGGGCCAGCTTCGAGCCAACTTCGGCCATCTTGGTGGGTTCCTGGCACGTCTGACGCCGTCGGGAGCCGTCTTGGGGGCCTTTCTGGGCCAACGGGGGACCCTCTTGGGGCGCTTCGGGGCCGTCTTGGAGGCCATCTTGGGCGTCTTGGAGGCCATCTTGGGCGTGTTGGAGGCCTCTTGGGCCGTCTTGGGGCCCTCTTGGGGCCATCTTGGAGGCAACTTGGGCCGTCATGGGGCCCTCTTGGGGGCCTCTTGGGCGATCTTGGGGTGGGGGCCCCTTGGGCCGTTTTGAGCCGTCGGAATGCCGAGAAGAAGCAAATTCCAAAATCCTTCAAACACCCATGGGAAAATCTATGATTTTGGCCTCTTCGGGCCCTCCTGGAGGACCTCTTGGAGGCCTCTTGGGCCGTCTGGGAGGCCTCTGGGGGGCCTCTTGGGCCGTCTTGGGCCGTCTTGGACTTTCTTGGGCCGTCTTGGAGGCCGTCTTGGACCGACTTGGAGGCCATCTTGGGCCATCTTTGCGATTTGTTGAGGATGTCCCGAGCGAAACGGCCGTTTCAGGGAGGATTGTTTCCGGAGTTTGTGCACGTGGAACGGCCTCCCGGGGCTCGGCTGGACGGGCCGAAACCCGTTGGGAGAGTTCTTGTGGAAAAAGAACAAAACCAAAACCGAGACGCGCGAACACGAAACCGAAACCGATTTCCCGGTAGCGGGGCTCTCCGTTCCACTTCGATCTCACCCCTTCACCTCCGACACACACACATATATATATATATATACATACATACATACATATTATGTATGTGTATCTATACGACCACCATTCGGGTGATAAGGAGGTTCGAGAGGGGGGAAGAACCAACGTCTCACTCGATCGGTCTCACTATCGATCTCACTATCGATCTCACTATCGGTTTCGCTCGATCGATCTCACCCGATCGATCTCACAATCGGTCTCACTCGATCTATTTCATTCGATCGATCTCACAATCGATCTGACTGTCGATCTCACAATCGATCTCACTATCGATCTCACGATCGATCTCACAATCGATCTCACATTTGGTCTAACAATCGATCTGAGTATCGATATCACAACCGATCTCACAATCAACGCCATCATCATCTTCAACACCATCGTCACCAACGCCATTTACATCATCATCATCATCATCATCATCATGAGGTCATCATCATCATCAACATCGTCAACATCATGATCAAAATCAGCATCACCATCATCATCGGGACACCATCATCGTAACTATCATCATCATCAACATCATAATCATCGGGACACCATCATCACCACCACCTCATCATCATCCTCATCATCACCATCATATCAGCATCATCATGAACAACATCATCAACATCATCATCACCATCGGGACACCATCATCAGCAACATCAGCATCATCATCAACATCATCATCGTCGGGACACCATCATCATCGTCACTATCATCATCACCACCATCATCATCGGGACACCATCATCATCCACATCAGAAGCATCAGCATCACCATCATCGGGCCACCATCATCATCACATCATCATCATCATCCTCGGTTTCAACATCATCATCGTCATCTGGATACCATCATCGTCATCACCATCATCAACATCATCATCATCATCGGAACACCATCATCATCACCACCATCATCATCAATTGCATCATCATCATCAACCTCATCATCATCATCGGGACACCATCATCATCATCATTATCATTATCATCCCATCATCAACAACATCATCATCATCACCATCATCGGGACACCATCATCATCATCAGCAACATAATCATTATCAACATCACTATCACCACCATCATCATCATCATCAACATCGTCAACATCATCATCATCATCGGGGCACCATCACATCATCATCACCATCATCATCATCAACATCATCATCATCATCATCATCATCATCATCATCATCATCATCGGGGCGCCATCATCATCACCACCATCATCATCATCATCAACATCATCATCCTCCTCCTCCTCCTCATCATCATCATCGGGACACCGACGGGACACTGGCGGGACACCGGCGGGACACCGCGCGGCAACGGACGCCGGAAGGGAGTCATTTGGTCTGGACGCGCCTCAGCCTGAGGCGGGACACCGGCGGGACACCGCGCGGCAACGGTTGCCGGAAGGGAGTAATTTGGTCCGGCCGCGCCTCAGCCGGAGGAGACTTTCTTCTCGCCCGCCCACGCAGCTTCGCCTCGCCCGCACGCGCGGCACGCACGAACGCGACACTGAAACCGATTTCCCGGTAGGGGGGCTCTCCGTTCCACTTCGATCTCACCCCCTCACCTCCGATACATACCTGTTTGCCCACCTGCCGATTTACCTACATACATACATATATGAATGCATACATACACACATTATATCTAGACATGTGTATATATGTAGAGAGCGAGAGAGAGAGAGAGGGAGAGAAAGAGAGAGAGAGAGAAGAGCGTTTGGAGTGGTGGCGGGTGAGAGGGGCATCCATGCCGCCCGAGAGGACGTGCTCCCCAGCATCGTCCACGCGTATGTGACGAGGTTGTCGCTCGGCCCGCCCGCCCTGGTCCGCACCGTAGAGTTCAGCCTGCCCCGCGTCGTGGCCAGGCTCAGCGGCGAGCCTGCAGGGGGAAGTGAGAAGGCGGAGGCCCTTTCAGAAGGCAGCGGGAATTCCCAGAAGGCCCCCCCGAGCTTTGTGAGAAGGCCCGCCCCTTCTCACTTCCCCCCCCCTGGGCTCGCCGCTGACAGGCTTCACAAGAACGACGTGGTGCTCACCGTCCCCGCGCTGGTGCCCGCAGAGGAAGCAACTGCCCAAACACACACTTTCGGAGCTGGGCGCTCTCCTCCGACGCCAGGAAGAGTCAGAGGGGGAAAGGGTACCGATACTGCGACCATGAGCTTGTTCTCGCCTGTTTGGGCTTCCTGGGAGGCCCTCATCGCCAGGACTGGATTTGCCTCGGACTTCTGGTCAGAGCGCACCCTGGGAGAGGTCCAGGGAGTGGCGGTATCACTATTTTTTGGCTTCCGGAAAAGTGCCCGGTATCGAAGGACAGCAGTTTGCATGAACATGCACTTTCGGAGGTCCGTGAGGATTTTTTGGACAGACGATGGACTCCCCTGGCGGCGCCCGAGCTTTCTGAGAAGGCTTGAACTGAGAGGGGACGGTCGTTTGGAGGAGTTGGAATCAGGAATTCGGAATTTTTGTTTGAGACGGTCGGCGCAAAGTTGACGTTGTTGCAATCGGGATGCAACTCGTTTGTGGAAAACATTTCAGTTTTCAGCACAGGCACCACACCCCTTGATTGCAGTCGGACCGAGGTACAAGATCGAGGTCGGTTCGGGGAGGGTACCCTAATGTTCTTGCTTGTTGGATGCTCTTGTGCGTCCTGGGGGAGGGTACCCTCAAATGTTCTTCAGTCTGGCCGCGCGGAGGATCTCATGTTCTTGAAGGAAATCATTATGTCCTAGGTCCAGCTGTACAGCCGACCCGCATAGTAAGGATGGGCAACCTTCCCAAGGGTACCCTTGCATCCTTGCCTCCTCGCTCCATCCTTCGCTCCTCGGTCCATCCGCGGCCACCTTCGTTGACCGCGCCCCGCGTGGAGAGCTCCGCCATGCCTTGGATTTCTCGCTTGTGTCACTAAGATATCACATCTGAAGAGTTCAAGAAAAATAAAAAATAAAAAAAATAAAATGATCAAGTATTATAATCTATTATTATATATTATACTATAGTATGTTTATTATATTATAGTATGCGATATTATATAATCATATGTTTTATTTAATAATATTATGTTATATTATATGGTAATATATTCATTTATATAATGCCATAATAGATTGCAGTTTATTGTATGCTTTACATTACACTATAATATATCATAGTATATTATAGTGCGTGCGATCAGGTTAGAACGTTGCATCGTATTATCCTTTTCTCCTCGTCCTTCCTCTCCCTACTCGCTGGATTATGTCGCCAGCTCCGCCGCCCGTGGCCCTGGGACCGTGGGGGAACGAGTTAAAGGGGTTGAGGGTTCGGCCTCGAGTGGGGCTGCTGGGGGGGCTTGTGGGCCTCGTCGTCGTCGTCGTCGTCGTCGTCGTCGCCGTCGTCGGTTCACTCGAATTTCGGTTTTCGTTGTGACGTTGCGAGATTTGGCGGGTGTTGTTTGTCCAGGGGTTCCGTTGTAGGGGGGGGGGTCCTTGGTTTCCAGTAAATGGTAAATGGGAAGAACCGCCCCCCTACAACGTTGTCGCCGTCGTCGCCGCCGCCGCCGCCGTCGCCGTCGCCGTCGTCGTCGTCGTCGCCGTCGCCGTCGTCGTTGTCGTCGTCGCCGCCGTCGTCGTCGTCGTCGTCGTCGTCGTCGTCGTCGTCGTCGCCGTCGCCGTCGCCGTCGCTCGGGGGCGGGGCGCCAGCGCCTCTGGGTGCGCGCCTCGGAGGGGGGACTCCAGGCTGCTGCCGCCCGAGTGGCGGAGCGCGGCGACAGTGCGGCAGAGGCGACGTCTTGGGAGCCGTCTTGGTGCAGCGTCTTGGGGGCCGTCTTGGCGAGCGTCTTGTGGGCCGTCTTGGTGCAGCGTCTTGGGGGGGGGCGTCTTGGTGAGCGTCTTGGCGAGCGTCTTGGGGGCCGTTTCGGTGCGCCCCGTAGCGTCTTGGGGGCCGTTTTGGTGAGCGTCTTGGGGGCCGTCTTGGTGAGCGTCTCGGAGGCGACGGTCTTGGGGGCCGTCTTGGTGGGAGTCTTGGGGGCCGTCTTGGCGAGGTGTCTCGGGGGCCGTCTTGGTGAGCGTTTGGGGGGCAGTCTCAGTGTGTTCCGTAGCCATTTTGGCGCATTTTTCGCCTCGGCAGATCCCCATCCATCGGTCCATCGGCACCTGAGGGGGATGGGCGATGGACGAGTCGGAGATCGACGCCGGCATGGCCGCGCTCAACGTGGCGCTGGGGCGCCCCGCGCGCGGCCGCCCGTCGGCGGTCTTCATCGGCCAGGCCCACCGGGGGGATGGACACATGCATTGGTTGCGGGAGGTGAGGGCCCGCCGCGAGTCTGAGTGCGGGCGTGCTCGTGATCGGGACGCCCTTCGGCCCCTCGAGCAGGCTTGGAATCGAGAGCATTTGCGATTCGGTGACCAGATTGGCGACCCCGACGAGGCAGAGGCGGGCAGCCACCCCAACAAATGGTCCCCCCACCAGGTCGTGCGGAGCGCCTTCTTGCAGGTGGGCAAGAGCAAGCTCTTGCGTGGGGGGACTGCTGGGCACACGCGCGCCCTTGGGACGCTGGCGGCGGTGTCCAGCGCGTTGGCCGAGCGACAGCGGGAGTGGACAACTTCTGGACGCTTCGCGTATCCCCACCAGCCCATCCAGTAACGATGTCCAGGCGAGTTGGGGGGGTCAGGGAAGTGCGGGAGCAAAGAGGCGGATCGCCGAACCGTGCGAAAGAGGGAGGAGGAGATGGAGGAGGTTGGATGGATGGATGAGGGAATGGGGAGGATAAGGAAGATGAGTAGGGAGTAGGAAGAGGAGGAGGAGGAGGAGGAGGAGGAGGAGGAGGAGGATGAGGATGAGGATGAGGAGGAGGAGGAGGAGGAGGAGGAGGAGGAGAAGGAGGAGGAGGGGGCTGAGGAAGAGATGGGGTAGGAGGAGGAACGAGGAGCAGGAGGAGGAGGGCGAGCGAAGGCACCAGAGGTCTCTTGCATGCCTATCGAGGCCTCTTGGGATATCTCTTTGGCGCTTCTTGGAGGCCTCGTGGGACGTCCTGGGGGGCCCTGGCGGTCCAGGGGGGCTCTCGGGTGTCTTCGGTGCCTCGCGGGGGCCGCTTGGGGTCCTCTTGGGGGCTAAATTGGGGCCATCTTGAACCATATCTGGGCTATCTTGAACCGTATTGGATGCCACCTGGGGCTCTCCGAGGCTTCCTTGGGGCCGCCGTGGACGCCCCGACGCCTCGTGGGGCGCCCCGTCCAAGTCCAGGGGAGGGTTTAGGGGGGAGCTCTCGACCACCTACGCCCGCGGGGCTGTTAGGATTGCAAGCTGCGCGCCGTCCAGGATGCACGGGCGCCGCTGGTGGTGACCAAGTATTACGATACGTCGCCGTGGCGCATGGCACTCGGATCCTTGCAGCACAGGTTGTTCCCGCATGCCAGGTACATCATCAAGATTGGCGAGGCGGAGTGGAAGACGGTTGGCCTCACGGAGCTGATGGCGCGATTCCCTCGCTGCGGGGCTCTGAGGTTCGGCATTTTGGAAGTCATGGTCAACGTCACGACGTGCCAGTACGTGAACGCGGACGGTGAGTTCGTCGGGTTCAAGCACGTAGCGAGGCCCACGATCTTGCAGCGCGCCAACGCCAGTTGCATATGCGCGGCCTTGCAGAAGGAGGTGCCCATGTTGGGCCAGGACATTGGCTCCCTGAACGTCCCGTTCGGCATCCTGCTCGAAGGTGTTGCGGGATGCGGAGCGGGCGAGGGGATCCTTCTCCTCCTCATTCCTCCTCCTCCTCCTCCTCCCCCCCTCCTCCTCCTCCCCCATCCCCCCCCCCGGAGGGGGGGGGGGCGGCGGGGACTTCGCGGAGCGGGGGGGGTCAGGAGGGCAGGGGGACGGGGAAGGTGGAGTGTCATCGTGGGTCGTCGCCGTCGTCGTCGTCACAGGTCCAGACTCCGCCTCTTCGATGAAGCGCTGCTTCGCGAAGACAGCCGCCGGGGTGCCGAGGAACTGGCTGGCCATCGGCACTGGCCAGGGGGGCACGGGATGCGGCGCCCACCAGTGCCATAGAGTCATCGAGCACAGGCAGCGCGATGTGATCGGCAACCTGCACGCGACGCACCTGACGTGCTCCACCATGGCCCACCAGGTCAAGATGCAGGCCGCGCTGCGGCAGCTCCTCGGGGACCTCGACTTCCAGATCGGCCAGCCCGACCCGGCATGGACATGTCACAACAAGCGGGTGATGGCGCGGACGCTCCTCAGACGGCAAGAGTTTATTGACATTGATCCTGGTGTCGACGTGCCCTTCATGGATCGCGAGGAGTTCCGCGACGCGCCCGAGAGTGAGTTTCTGAACATGTGGAACGGGTGCTGGACGGCAGGTAGGATCCAACATTGGTGTTCGGGGCCTAGGTGTTGCGAGAACGTGGAGGAGTGCAGGAAGCAGATGTACGCGACCGCCATCAGCGTGGATCTGCTGCAGGGGTCCGACACCCGCACGCCCTCCCTCGACGATTTTGGTAGTTGCGGAGCCGCCTGCGCCAAGACTAACGCCGGCATCATGATCCACGGTGTGTTGCCAAGAGTGCTGGATATAGCTCTGCCGAACTGGGGGGCGATGCTGCCGCCCAACGACAGGACCCGCCAGAACATGACCGAGAGGCTGCGTATTAAGATTCGCAAGAAGGCATGGCGGACGAAGTGTTTCATGAGTGACCGACGCAAGGTGATGCAGTCATTGCTTTATTGTTGGATTGCCATTTACGTGGAGCGCCTGCAGAGCGAGCTGACGTGGAGGGACCAGCAGGGCAAGGGGCTCTGGGACGTCGTGGTGCAAGACGAGCTCAACCCATTTGTCCGGTGCAAGAAGTCTTTGGGCAATATCATCTCGCTCGGCATGGCAGGCCCCCTAGGCGCCCTCTTCGAGCACGTCGCGCCGGAGCTGCACGTCGAGCTCCACCAGCGTGCTCGCGAGTTGGTCGTCGACTTCGGGGCTCAGCTGGAGTGGCGCTTTCTCGCGTACAAGTGCTACCCCATGAGGCTCGGGTTGCTCACCCATCCAGGGATCGCCGATGCAGACCGCAAGAGGTGCGCAG